CCTATGCAAGGTGCTCTGAGGCTGCAAGAGGAGAGGGCAGACTGGCTGGGTCTGGGCCAGAAGCCAGGGTTAAAAGCGCAGAGATGGGGACCCCTCAGGGGTGCAGCTGGTTCTGTGACTTGGGGTTTACCAGGCCCTGAAATGAACATGGGACATTGAATGTCAAGGCCACAGTGAGTAAAGTCAAATCAGACCACGCCCCCCCCACACACACACTTCATCCCAGGCCAGTTGTAGGCAAGAAGCTGTGGACAGCAGGCCTTTCCCTGTCTCTTCTCTCCTCAGCTTGCCCTAGGCACCAGCCAAGGAGGGGTAAGTGTATCTGAGTAGCTAGCCCCTTACCACCACTCCAGGCTCCTCAAGGCCATCTGGGTGTCATGGCAACATGGGCAGGAAGCGGCTGCCATAGCAACTGGTGCCCAGGGAAGTGTGCTGCCTAGCAACAGGGGCCAGGGCCACTCTAGCTCCTAACAACATACTCTTGTTTCCCACACTTCTGTGTGGCTGTGAGTCTCTGCACCTATGCAGGACCCTACCCAATGCAGACCCAACCCTTCTCCTGCATGAAGCAGGGCTCCACACAGACCCTCACTCCAACTCAACACACCAATTTTTGCAAGTTGTTTACAACACGTTAGCACAGCTGATGCTCTGAGCAGGAGCCAACTATGCTGCAGAGCCAGGATTCTTCTCTCCTTCTAGACTCCTCCACCTCCCGGGACACTCTGGAACTCAAGACCATACAAGGACCGTGGAGAGAGGGGAGGCATCTTCAGAGCTGGCTTTGAAAGAAACTAGCCTTCCAGATAGGGCACAGCCCAAGCAAAGGTAAGGTGATCAGAGAATGCGGGGTTCCAGGTTGAGGTGACATCCTAGGGCCTCAGATAGGAGAGCAGAAGAGTGTCTAAAGTGCCTGGGTACTACCTCACGGCTGCTCAGCAGCTGTGGCCCAACCTGGGCACCTGGAGTTGAGACCTGAGGGCCCTAGGCTATAGCCTCTGTGTGAGACCACTGTAGTCACACAGGACGGGAGCCTCTGAGGATCCTGCGCATCTTCCTGGACACTTACCAGGCTAGAGACACAGAACACAGAACACCACCACCAATGTCAGCTACTCAGGGCCTTTGCTGGTATTGCCCTTCACCCCTACCATAGTCACTTCACACCAAATGCCATCCGAGACCAGTATATTCTGGAAACCATGAGACCCCAGAGGGTAGCGAACAGGCAGAGTGCTTGGAAGACCTAGCATCCTCCAGTGGCCTGAGTAGGCAGCTTCTACGTAGTTTAGGATACACTGGAGCAACTCCAGGCTCTCCTATTACAGGATTGCCAGTGTCTGCCGGTTGCTATGTGTGTACAGATGTGTCCCATCCTGGGAAAATGCAGAGCTCCTGCTAGCGTGGCCAGCTGGGCCCAGCCTGAGCTGTCACTGTATTATATTCCTCTTCCTCTGCCACAGGTCTCAATGGCTTCTTCTGGGTATCCATTCCAATTCTGCAAGACAGCAGGAGAGGGACCATCTGTAAGGAACGTCAGGAAACTAAAAATGGGATGCAGAGCTAACTCAGGGAGACAACTTACTGGGAACTGGGCACTGACTGGAGGCAAACCTGTACTCTAGTACTGATTATGGGAACTGCCAACAGAACTTTCTAGGCAAACTCTCTAGGTCTAAGTCTCCATTCCAGACATCGGAGCTGGAGCAGGGAGATGTGTGGCAAGAGGCCTTCCTTCTTAAACCTCGACCATCCCTGTGTTTAATAGAAAAAGTACCCATTAGCTTTCTCAACTCCCTTGTAAACAGAGACAGAAAAGAAAAATGACAGGTTTTTATTAGAATAGTGTCTAATGAGAAGTCTCAAGACCAAACATGAAGGAAAACAGAACCAAAGAACCATAAGGGAGAAAGAGAAAATGTAGGCAGAAAAAAAAAATCTTGTTCTCCTCCAAAACCACTATTTCCTGAAGAGAGAACAGGACACTCTGAAAAAGAGACTTCTAGGGATTAGCAGTAACACCTCAGGAATTAAAAATGTGACCACTGATAGCAGGCAATGGTGGCATACGCCTTTAATCCCAGTACATACATATCTATCCACTGAAATTTGAAGTTTTTTTTTTTAAATACATCATCATGTGCTACACAACACTTTGGTCAACTACAGGCCACTTGTGGTTGCATAAGAATGTATAATATTGAGGATTGAGAATGTAACTCAACTGTAGTTACTTGCCTATCATGTCCAAAGCTCTGGTTTTCATCCCCATCACTGCTAAAGACTTTTGGCAGTATTGAAAAACTCACATCAACTAATTATGATGTAGGCATTGTGACAAAATATACCCCTTGTGCTTGTAGTGGGAGTGGCAAGGACACACCCACAGCTCTACCCGCTGAATAAAGTGAATTACATACAAGGTACAGTGCCCGGGACTTCGGGAGCCCATTCCCCATGGTGGGATACTCTCTCAGCCTAGATACACAGGGGAGGGCCGAGGCCCTGCCCCAAGTGATGTCACAGACTTTGATGACCCCCATGGGAGGCCTCACCCTCTCTGAGGAGTGGACCGGGTGGGTGGGTGAGTGAGATGGGTGGTTGGTGGGGGGCATGGGAGGACAGGAGAGGGAACTGGGATTGGTATGTGAAATAAGATCATTTTAATTTAAATAAAAAATAGTATAATAAAAAAACAAAAACAAGGTACAGTGCCCAACAGTGCAAATGGCAATAAATGACTATGATGCTCCCTTATGCATTTACCATGAAACTTTTTATTATTTTACTGGGCTCTTTGTGTTTGTTTTTTAAAGGGATTTACACAGCTGGGCTCTGCTGTGACATGTGATGTCTCCGACATCTAGGAGTGTGCCCTGTTCTGCTCTTTCCTCAGTCTCACACTGCCCCACTTGACACTCAAAGAGCAGTGGGTCCTTCACACCCAGGTTCCACATGGCCCAGGTGTGTGGGAAACGGCACCGTCTAGGCTTACACAGTATATTTTAGAATGCCAAGTCATCTACTGGCTAATTCCTTAGAACTTACCCATCATTAAATGACACAACACTGTGTATGAAGTGGGAGAGGAGGGCCAAACCTCAGTAAAGAGCTTGCCGCTGAACCCTGAGGACTTGAATCGGATCCCTGGAAGCCCTGTAAGAGTCCAGGGGTGGTGGTCCACACTGTAATCCCAGTTCAGTGGGCTGAGACAGCAGATCTGGTCAGAGCTGACTGGCTAGCTAGCCTGGACTAATCAGAGTGCTCCAAGTCCCAGTGGGAGATTCTGAAACAAAACACGTCTGAACCCTCTGGCTCCATGGACACAAGGCATGCATGTGATGAACATGGAAGCAGGCAAAACATACATACACACAAAATACAAATAAATAAATCACACATGTGTATATGCACAAAAAATAAATATTAAGACTTGAAGGTTTTGACATACAAATACCAAAGACACACAGAAGAGATCCAACATCTGCTGGGAGCTCCAAGGAAGTGGGGAAAGCAGAAGAGATTAAATCAAGGAGATATTATACCCCAAAACAGAAAATCCAAGGGACAGAGATGCCTCAGGAGTTAAAAGCTCTTGCAGAAGACCAGACTTCAGTCCACAGCACCCACAGCAGCTGGCTCACAACCACGTGGAACTCCATGGGATCCAGGGCTGTCATGGGACCTAGCACTATTTTCTGGCCCCCAAGTGCGTCTGCACACGTGTACATATGCATACACACAGAGATACCCACAATACATGTAAGTAAAAATACATTAGCTATTAAAAATGAAAAACCACCGGGCGTTGGTGGCGCACGCCTTTAATCCCAGCACTTGGGAGGCAGAGGCAGGTGGATCTCTGTGAGTTCGAGGCCAGCCTGGTCTCCAGAGCGAGTGGCAGGATAGGCTCCAAAGCTACACAGAGAAAACCTGTCTCGAAAAACCAATAAATAAATAAATAAATAAATAAATAAATAAATATGGAAAACCAAGGCTGGGAGGTGGTGGTGCATATCTTTAATCCCAGCACTCAGGAGGCAGAGGCAGGCAGATCTGTGTGAGTTAGAGGCCAGCCTGGTCTACAGAGTGAGTTCCAGGACAGGCTCCAAAGCTACACAGAGAAACCATGTTTCAGAAAAGAAAAAAAGAAGAAGAAAGAAAAAAATAAAACAGCTAGGCTGGGGAGAAGCTCAGGTCAGGGATGGAAAGTTTACCTTATACATACAAGACCCTAGACTGCATCCCCAGCACTGCTAATAAACAAAACATTTGGTCACCAAGCCCCCAGAACTGTGAGCAGCAAGATGTCAGCATGGACTGTCAGGGCCTCTGGGGTTGGAGAGGGCCCTCAAGGTTCAGGGCTGAGTCCAAGCTCATGGAGTGGAAGCAGAGAACATCCTCAGACTGGCTTTCCAGTGTAACCTCAGCAGGGAAAGATGCCTCTAGACCCATGTGGCATCATGTCAGCTGCCTCCACTCTTAAATAGACATGAACATGGCTATGATTTAACCTGGGCTCAGAAGTAGGCCATTGGCAACCTGACTGAACCTGAGGGCATAACCAAAGGGGCGGGGTCCTGATGGTCTTGCCCACCCACCTTTAGTCAGCTGGGTCCTGACAGAGACTCATAACAGATGATCTTGAACTTGGAGTGAGGACAACTGCCATTTTTGTCACACTTGATTTCTCCCAGAGCCAGCCTTCTGAGAATGAATGGGCACCATGAACATTCCTCCACACACAGAGGAAAGACACAGTCGCTGGGACTTTGGGGACAGGGAGAACAGGGCTGAGGCAGGAGTGGCCCACTAGCCTCCCTTCTGCCCCAGCCTCAGCCCCATCCCATTGTGACCTCCCTGGATGTACCCAGGCCTTTGTGACTGTCACCCTGGGTAGACTTGTGAGCCAAGGTGACATCTAAAGTGCCCTCAAAGAGAGTGGCAGGTCAGCCAGGCCAGAGCCTGGACCTTGGGTCAGGAAGGGGTCACAGGGAGGGATGGAGGGGTCAAAACCCCTGGGGCCCTGTGGACACTCTCATCCCCAGTGTCCCCCAGCCCCAGCTCTGAGCAGTCATGGAGGTTGCCTGGATCAGCCCTGCCAGGGATTTGTAGGGTGGCCCTTTCTGGCCCCCCTTCAATCCACTCAGTCATTAGAGACTTCCAGACTTTTCCCTACTCCAGGAACAGGGAATGAGGGATCCAGAGTGGGAGGAGAGGCACCTGGGATGTTTTTGTCAAGTGAAGAAGGAGACATGCCAAGACAGAGAGCTCGAGAGCCAGCAGGGTCCAGACAAGAAGTGGAAGCTGAGGTAGAGTGGGGTTGCCCCCTGCACCCAGGGCGTGAACAGGGGCCACCTAGGCAGACAGGATCCCCCACCTTAGGACCCAGGTCCTGCCCATGTCCAACCCTGCCTCCCGGAGGAGGGGTTACAGCCTCACCCAGGACAGCTCCCACACAGGTCCAGAGTGGGACACTGGGGCTTGCCGAGCAATCCTTTCTACAGCTGGAACAGGAGAATCACAGCCTGGTGAGTGCATCCCATGGGCCAATGGGCACTCGCTGCTCCTCACAGCCCCAGCCCAAGCTCCCCTGTTTTGGTTTCCGGTCTGAGAAGTAACCAGGGCAGGTGACCCCTTCTTTGTGTCCCTTGACCTAGAAAAGGCAGAACCAGGACCTTCGGGAGCAGCTGGGGGCCCTCCTGGGACCAGGGCAGCAGTTCTTGCCTCTGTGTGCCGAGCACTCAAGCTGCACAGGCCTGGCCTGGGTAAGCGGGAGTGTGCAGCCCGGGACCCGTGCAGCAGCACCTCGAGCTGTCCACAGCCTTGGGCATGATCGGGGGTTTTCCCACAGTCCCCCGGGTCGGCCAGCACCCGGCCCCTGGAAGACAGGGCACCTGTGCAGCTGTTGCAGCAGTGGGAGCTCTGCAGGGGGGAAGAGTCCTTTGTGCAACAGTCCCAGGTGGGCCCTGGGGGAGGGGCTTGGCCTGGGGAGCAGGGAGCAGGTTCCGGTGCCCACACCACTCCTCCCCACCTAGAGTGAGCTGCAACAGATCCGACTGTCCTTTGAGAGGAAGAAGATGGCCATTACTGAGGTGCCTGTTTGGCAGGTGGTGGGAGGGAGCCCCTGCCGTATCCTTGAGTGTGATACAGCCCCCATTCCCTGCCCCCAGGTGTGGGACGGCGTGGCTGAGGTACACATGGCTCTGAACAACCAGGCCACCGGGCTCCTGGTAGGTCATCAGAGGTCATCGGGAAGACGGCCGTGAGAGGAGTGGGTACAGCACAGTGAAGGGACAGAGGGCCAGCTTCACCTCCTCTGCCTCCTAGAACCTAAAGAAGGACATCCGTGGTGTGCTGGATCAGATGGAGGACATTCAGCTGGAGATTCTGGGGTGATGCGGGGACCCCGGGATGAGCCAAGTCGGGATGGGGTGGACTGCTATCTATCTCCAGTCCCACAGAAGAGGTGGTGCCAGGCTGGGGCAAGGGCTGCATGGTCCTCAAAGCGTGATTCCCCCAGGGAGAGGGCCCACTGCCGCACTCAGGCTAGGAAGCAGCAGCAGCAGCAGATGTCATGTATGGAGGTGAGTCCCTACCCCATCCCTTCCGATCCCAGAGTCCCCACCCAGGGTACTGCTAGGGAGAGTCTGAGAAATGGGACTTCAGGGACCAGGTCTCAGGCCTAGAGCTGGTGGTTGCAAAGGGGAAGGGAGGGGGAGAGGGCAGAGCTGGGTGGCCCACAATGGCGTCCGTATATATTGTGGGCACCTCAGGGCTAAGGATATGCCCTTCCCCAAGGCCCCCAAGGTACTGAGGACAGTTTCTGACCCAGCCCCCTCCCCGACAGAAAGGCAGGCCACAGCTGGGATGTTCCGAGGGCCTAAAGGGCCAGCTCTGGTAGGTCACTTTCTGGGCAGAGCCCAGCCCCCCAGGATCATCCCCATGGACGTTCCCTACCCCTTAATTGCCACCGCCTACAGGCTGCTGGCCTTGAGGCTGCTGCTGGGTGCTCTGCTGGCCTGCACGGCGGCCTACGTGTACGTGGTGGACCCTGCACCCTTCGAGGGGCTGGTGCCACCCCTGCTGAGCCGAGCCGCCGTCTGGAAGCTCAGGGCCCTACTGGGTCCCTTCTTGCGCCTCGAGGTGGACGACTTCCTGCCTTTCTAGGCCGGAGGCCCAAAGGCCCCAGCAAGGAGGAGGCCAGGTGTCTGGCGCTGCCCAGGGAACCCAGTGGCCTTACTGGTTCCTGCCTACAGCACTGCTGCACATAGTCTCTACCAGGAGCTGCAGAAAAGGGTGGAGGCGGGGCTTGTCCTGAGGGCTGGGCCTGCAGCTGGACATACAGTCATGACACACTTTGCATGTAAGCTTGTTTCCATGGAAACTGGGGCATTGGGGGAAGAGGTTTGGGAACTTTCTGAAGCACTCTTGGTCTGATAGGTGGGTTTTGGTGTTGGAGCCTCTGCCTCAGATCTCAGTATTGGCTCCTATCTGCCCCCAAGGGTATTCCTACACAAAGGCCTCCTGGAGCTTGAGAGTACAGCAGGTTGGTCTCCCCTAAAAGACTATAGCTAGGCAATTACAGGAGTCCTTGGGGCTCACCTCCTGAATCAGGCCCTCCTGAGGACCCCAGATGTCAGAGCTCTGAATCTGCTGACCCACCCCATCTTGTCAACCCCTCATCCCAGGTCCCTGTCACTTCAGCCTCCTGGCACTGTCCAAGACTAAAGAAAGGGGATTCACATTGCTGGATAGTGCCATGGAGGTAAACACAAAAAAAAAATTTATTAGGGTAGTTGAGGGAGGGAAATCCTGTAGGACAAAAGAGAGCTTTATGGGTTCTGTGTCTCCAAATGGGACACAAAGGGCTGCTGCCCAGAGTGGACCCCAGACAGGGCCCCTGTGCGAAACTGGGGGGGGGGCAGGGGCTCTGCTCTGCCCTTCTAGGGGCACTCAGGCCTGCAGACTGGGTGTCCCCAGAGCATCACTCCTGAATACACAAAGCCCAGGTGGGGTCAGGCAGGCAAGAGGCAGAGGTGGATGGACCAGGTCAGTGCTCCATCAGGCTGGCTGGCAGCTCCAGGACTTTAAGGCATCTGTTCATGTGCTTGGGGTGGAGTGGAGAGGTGCAGTAACCTGCAATGACCTGAGACCCCCACCCCAGCCCAACCCACAGAGGCCTGGGCTCCCCAGAGGAAGTGGCTTAAAGTGCTTGGAAGGAATAGGGAGGCTGGGGTGAACATCATGCTGGTTCCCAGTAGCTCTGGGGCCACCCCCAGTGGGGCACTGGGCCCCTGCAGCAGGTGGGGGGTGGGACTTCCTGAGGTCACCTGGACACAGGGTCATGGGCCCTGGCAGACTGATCAGTCAAGATGTGGCTGGTTGATAGGGAATGGCAGGGATCCTGGGCCACATCCAGGCCCACTCTAAGCTCTATAGCAGCCTGGTCTTCTGCATCCCCGGCAGGTTGTCCACGGCCCTAGAGCCAGCCACCTACTGGTGTCCTGCTAGGGACCTGAGAGGCTGGGGAAAAGGCTGGTTGCAGCAGAATGTAGCCGACAAATGGTCCCACGGGGGGGCGCCCCAGCGGCCACGCTCCAGGGGGCCCGCAGCGGCGGGTGTTCCTCGGGATGGCCAAGGTGGCACAGGTGCAGGCCAGGAGTCCCCCTAGGCGGACCACGCCACCCCCATCCACGACTACAGGTGCCAATTCGCCCCCTGTGGGCCGATGTCCGTGAGAGAGAAGCAAAAAGGTGGAGGTCAGCTGGGGGTACAGTTATGGGGCCCTAGGTTCTGGACACCTCCCCTCTGAGTTTCTGAAAATCCCTCCCCAAAATACTGGACCTAGCCCAGCCCTCTCCAGCCCTGCTCTGAGCCCTAGCTCAGAAAAATGTGGCTTTCTGGCACTCCTCAATCCCTCCCTTGGTATACAGCATAGAAGAGTGAATTCTAGAAAGTACAGTAATTTATGTAGAGCTCTCAGCCCCAGGTGTTGGCCCCAGGTGTACCCTCCATTGCACCTGCCTCAGAGTCCCATGAGGCAGCTATGGTTCTAACCTGTCACCACACACCCTGCTGTCTGGCATGACACAGATTGGGGGTTAGAGACCTTTGCACTTACCAGCTGAAGGCCCATTACCAACTAGGCCTGACTTGGCATGTCATCAGAAATGTCCAAGAGGAATGTGCCACCCTGTGCCGGCTGGCCAACCCCCTTCCTGACACCCTCCCCTGCATCCACAGCCGTAGTCTTGCCAAGGAAAGGATCAAAATGATTTTTCCTTTTTTTAATAAAATTATAGATATATAGATGTAAATATAAAAACATAAAACAGACAATGCAAGCGGACGCTGCCATGTGCTTACTCGGGTCCCTGACGCCAGGGGGAGAACCGACCTTCCCTGATGTGCTTTCCAGCAGCACTGGCTGAGCCAGTGCTGGGAACTCTGTATGCTTTGGGGTGAGGACTCTCCAGTTTGGCAGGGAAGGCCTGAGAGGGAGGGAGGGGGCTCCAGGCCCCACCAGTCCCTGGGGCAGCATCTGGCCCCTCCCTGCTCTGGCCTACCATCCCCCCCATCACCTCCCACAAGAGCATAAAGCAGAAGTTAAGGCTTTGATGAAAGAACAGTGGCAGCCGAGCACTAACACATCAGACGTGGCACGGCAGCACAGCATACAGACACAGGGACATAAACCCACCAGCCAGGCAAGACAGGAACACAGGGAGCTGGGACCCCTGATACAGCTAGATTATCTGTCCATCCATCCATCACAACCCAGAGCAGGCCAGGGTTACACTCCCTGCAAAGCACAGGCCTTGCCAAGCAACAAGCTACCAGCTAGGTCAGTGAAAGGCCATGTATTAGGAGCAGCTGGGAGCATGGGACTACAGCAACCCATCCAGAAAGGATAGAGTGGGCCCATGGGACCGTTGGGGACTGGCCTTGGGGACTGAGGGCAATAGGGTGCAGGGCTGAGACTGGCTGATGGAGGAGGCAGTCCAGGTCCCCATCACAGTCCACAGCCTTGGATCCATCTGCCTGTGAGTAGGTAAGTGGATGGACAGGCAGAGGCCGGAGTACAAGCTGTGGAGACGGGACTTTCTTTCCTGTTGATGTGTCCACACCAGGCTTGGGTAGCCTCCTCTCTCTGGGGCAGAGAAGTTGATGGGGGTGGGGGAGCTACTGTGGGGGTCCTGGTCCCCGTGGAGTCACAGCAGATGAGTGGTGCTCAGTTCTTACACCGAGATTTCGTACGTAGTCCCACCCACGCCGGACACCTTCTTAACCAGCGTGTGCCGGGCAGGGCTGGCGTTGGGCCCCATGGGGCTGGCAGCAGGCCCCAGACGGGCCATGCCCGGGGACTGCCCGTTAAGCTTACTTGGGGGGGTCTTCAGCTGAGGGTGATCCCTGCATCAAAACATGCACACACAGTGAACACAGGACAGTGGGCAATAGGACTCATGCAGATGTGGACCCTAGGCAGTCCTCGTCCTTAAGAGGACTCTGCTATCACAGAACAAACAGAAATTGCCAGAACTGCTGTCATCCTCATGGGTACCTTGATTTCTCCCAGTTGGATCAGACAAAGAGCAGCTAGCCTGAGTCTCTGGCCCTACCCTGCCCACTGGCCCTGAAGTTGGGAAGCCCAGCTCTTTCCCCAATGTCTCTCAGGAAGAGGGGCAGCACTTCTATCCTCTGGCCTGGCCAGAGCTGGCTATTGTTCTTAGAGAACTGTAGCTGGTCTCCCCATCTCACCACTCCTGAGAAAACCAAACAGGCTCCTGCACAGGTAGGGATGCCTCATGGGTTCTTTGTAGCCACATAGCCTAAACAGGGTCTCCTCTCAGATCTCACCAATGCTCAGGTGCCTAGGGCCCACCTGTCCTTCCCCATTTTTATGCATGGAGGCCCCCTGCTTTCTGGGGCTGCATGCTCAAGCATGTGAGCAACATACCTCACTCTCAGCAACCTAAGACCAGGGGAGTACAGTGTCCCTGGGAAGGAAGGAGTCTACAGAGCCATGTATGGCTGGCTCCAGGGAGGGCCCTGGGCCAAGTCTGTGATGGTTCAGCGTGCAGATGTGTCTGTTCCCACATGCATCACGTACCCAGAGCCAAATCTCCCACAACAGGGTAACTAGGGGCCTTCAAGGCAAGGTAAGGCCCACCCACTTGTACTGTCCCTGCAGACAACCATGGGTCCTCCAGGATGAGCTGGAAGAACCAGCTCATAAGGGGCCCTGCATGGAGAAACCCTTCTACACTGCCGGGCACCCACCTCTGCATAGTCAGTGAGGGTGGCCGGTCCGGGAGGTCCGTGTGGATGAAGGCGACGGCCTTGGAGCCTGTGTAAGAGGGCGATCGGGGAGTGCCTGGTGGGGAAGGCAGGCCCTGATGGGCAGGTGACCTGTGCGAACCACTGCCAGGCCGGGTTCCTGGGGCATTGTTGTTGGCCTGGTCAGCCTGCAGGGAGGAAGAAGATGTCCGTGGTGCCCGACTCATAGAGCTCGACAGTGAGGACAATGACGTCTGCAGGGCAGGATTTCGGGCACCACCGAAGCCAGGCCCAGCCACGAGGTCATCCCTGGAGCCATAGCGCAGCACAGAGCCACGGGGACCTTCTGTTAACACATTGGCCTGTTGCAGGCTGTAGGAGCTGGGTGTGTCATAGACACCAGAATCGCCAAAGAGTGAGTCAGTCTGGGAGCGCAGCAGCCGTTCACGCTCTTCCCTGTCTTTGCGCTCCTGGATAGAGGCCATGATGGTCCGAGACAGGTTGTCATAGCGCACAGGAGAGGGTTCCCTAGGCCGGGGACCCAGCACAGGACTGAAGCTGCGGGGTGGGGGCCTCGATGGATCTGATGGCCCAGGGTGCAGGTAGGGTGAATGGTAGCTGGCCATGCCAACAGAGGGGTGTGTGGGGCATGCATGGCCACTGGGGGAGCCAGGGTTAAGTAGGCTGTCATAGGACAGGCTGCCGTTTCGGTTGGGCAGTGCATGAGGAGCAAAGAGACCACGGTGGGGTGTGGGGGGCCCACCTTCAGAACGCAGTGGCTGTAGGGTCATGTGGTCCCCACCCCGCCGGCTGGCAGCCTTGAGACTCAGGGAGCGTAAGGCACCTGAGAAGGCATCGGTGGCATTGAGGGTTGGGGAAGGGGGATAGGT